TATTTAAGAAAAATATCACTCGCTGTACTGACCTAGATAAATAGGTACATGTTAACACCAAAAAAATATAGATATTGAAAATAGGTCATCACATAAGTCCCGTATAAGTATATCACTATATTATGTGTATATATGTTATGTGAGACTATGATGACAGATAAATATTTAAATATATTTTTTCTACAATAATCTATAAGAATTTGAATTCATAAATTCCTCATGGATTACTCCTAAAAAAAAATCGTATTTAGATGTATTAATGTTGATTATAGCTATTGCTACGAAGATGATTTTGCGGTGATATAAGATTTTATAGGAGTATTTCGCATGTACATTCTAAAATGTTTACTCATTAATGAAATAATGAGCAATATGAATATTTCTTATAAATATAATTAAATTAGTTGGTACCTGTGCTACATACCTTTATGTTTTGGTATTACCTTATGCTTAATGCATTATACATTTATAACAATAATTAACACTGTTTTTTTTTTTTAAATTAAAGCATGATATATTTTTTTTCAACAAATTCAAAAAATACCTGGTATTTGATATAGACTTTTTGGATAAAATATGATGACGATCGACGGTGTACAATGTACCTACATAGCTAATACCTACCTATAGACTATAGCTAAGTATACTTGTACATTATATTACCTAAATGTTATTAAGATACATATATTTTATTGTATACACGTCCATGTATTAGTATTTAATGTGTATATAAATTACGTAATTATGAGCTAAAGATAATTTTTTTTACACTTGATAACAACCTAAACCTATCATTGTTAAGTGGTTTGCTGTGTAAGATGTTAAATGTAGTTGTGGTAGCAATATAATATAATATTATGTGACATGAACACGATTTACCTATCGACATAGGCCACATAATAGCTATATACACTATAGTACTATACCTACCATGGATCTATGAGTCAGTGATGTGTATTGTGTATAAGTATTAAGTGTAGCTATTATAAATAAAATTGATGATGCTCAAATAATTTTAGGTGACCTACCCTTCATCATAATATATTTCTATGCCGACCTATAAAATATATCTTATTTTTTTTTATATCAATACCAATCCATCCATATTTAAGATGTTGCTTGAATAGCACTTGAACCCTATATATAATGTTACAACCCACTGCTACGAGCATATTCTATAAAATATCTGTACGATTATACGTATTACGTATACAAATACAATATAGATAGATTTATGCTCATTAAATATTATATAAGTATACGGAAAAAAGCGTTTAAAATTATCACTTCAGTAGCCATTTAAAATTGTTACAATATGTTTACTTAATACGAGGAAGTCGTTGAAATAGAAATTGATCCGTTTTTATCTTTATATAAATCAAACATCCGTTCGTATAAATCATACAACATAAAGACATAAARTACCGATCGTTGATCGCACAAAAAAGATGAATTGTTCATCTGACCGCAATGCCGCATCGATATTATTTAGTCTAGAGTCTAGACACATATTGATATTATACTAATTAGGTAAGTATGTAAATTTATTATAGTTAGGTATCCGTTAAAATCTGGAATATCTAAATAGTGCTTGACCTCGAAACAAAAATAAATACAATTAATACGGTCTGTCAATTATAGTTTAATTTTCTAGTTGAGAAACTTA